TTGCAGGTAGCTGTTTTCGTCGACACTTGCTGTGTTCCTACATGATTCTTCTATAGAGGCTCTGTTTAGGTTTCAAATGCGTATTACGATGTAACATGATAAAATGATTGGACGAAATTAGAACTATAAATGTATATGAAAAACCGTCGAAAAATCAAACAAGATATATGTATAAAATATAGATATGTAAACGTAAAGTAAGATATGATTGATAAGCGCGTGAATCTTCTTTTCACTGATTTCACTTTATCTCTCGGATTTCGTACCGTGTTTAAATTATGACGTAGCTGTCTGCACACGTAGCTTTTGCAACCGTTGTTTTTCATTGAAAAACGGAAGACGCACTATCATCGTGTTGGCAATATGGTGATATACGTATAAACGAGAGGAAGGATGTTTATTAATTTCCAGGAAACGGCACGTAATTATATTATCTTTTCATATGATTTGAATTCGGTTTAGAACGTCTCCAGGATCATAAGAAATCTTCTATAGTGTTGAAGATTTTATGAACTGGCAATGTGCCTCTGTTCGTATAAGTTCGTCTCTGCAGACGACAATCTTATGCGCATTACTGTAGGTAATTAAAAGGCTATCGTTCTTTTGTATCAGTGTTTTTATTTCGATTACTATAATATAATGCATGTATTTTTTTAATGTTCACGTTCATTTCAATTTTGGCTAATTGTAAATGCCCGTTACTAAAACATTATCGTTTCGGGAAGTCATTAAAAAGCGAAGGATAAGAACTGAAATATACCTTTTCGATAGTTCACGATACCAGCAGTTATTACATCAGTCTTATCTTGTTTCAAGCCTAGGTGCAATGTACACCTTATCTGGAGAAGAGTGTTGAATTCAACATCGTAGCAATTTGAACAACCTGTATCGCTATCAAACTAACGTCAATAGATAATTTAATATATATTTTGGAATACAAAATATTCGTGTAAGCAGTTGTTCAAATTCTATATATGAATGATTTCATACTAGGTAAGAGAATTAGTAATTATGATAAGAGAAATTTGCATATTCCAGTTTATCATGCGTCTCCATGTTATAGCAAGTCTTTCCATTGAAGAAATCTCTTCTTGAAATTTGATTTGAAGCTTTGAAAAAGTGGAAAATACTTGAGCTTCGTAAATTATAAATTTGTCATAAGTCTGTTGTCACATAAAATCTGAACTCCATGGCTGATCGTGCGTACAACTTGTTTGTACATGTGTCCGTATTTTTCCACGGTATGATTACCGAGGCCAAGCGAATGTTCTTCGCGATCGTCGACGCTGCCAAGAAGAGATAGATCGACGGCGTCTGATCTTTACCGCGTATCACGATTTTTCCAGCGCGCGTTACCTTTAATACCGTCGCAGCGAAATCTTGGATCTCTAACTGTAAACTTCTCGCCACGATTTATTGAGGTTTAGAAACAGTTTTTCACAGCGAGTTTCCGGGTAATATTGTAAGGGCGGTGCTTATGACGATTCCAAGAATGCAATACACGCAAGTTGTTTACGTACGTTCTGACGTCAAGCGTTTTATCTTTTGCCATAATTTCCCAGGGTTGTTTTCTACTCGGTGAATCTGTTTCCGCTTGATTAAAACTATTTTTTTGCTTTCGTTGAATTATTTGTATTATATGTATGTCAGAAATATCGTAATCGAAATTAATACAACCGTTTCGTGTCATAATTGGTGAAATGTTTGATATAATGTCTTATATAAAACTCAATGCAATAATTCATACGTTGATTGGTATAATATTTTTTCTAATGGTTTTTAATATGCTTGATACAATGTTTTATTTAATAATTTATTTGAGACGATTATACTGATTGATCCTTCCCGATACTGCAAAATGTAAATGAGCTCTTAATGACATCGACAATTCACTTTTTTCGAGGTTTTCTACTTAAATATACATTTTCCTGTATTCGACCAGTTTGTAGTGCGTTCTTATTTCTACGCAGTAAACTCGGAAATCCTAGAATAAATATGTTTACGTTCGATACTCCACTGTCAACGATAAGCCATTCCATGTCTCAATTGCCTTGCCACTCGGTTGGCAAAATTATTTATGGACAAGGATGACTTCGAGAGATGAGAAGAGATAACTCACATAAAAGTTCTAGATTAGCCGTTCCTGGCAACTCTGATCAGATAGCGAATGAAACATGAAACGGTTCAATATTCAAACTATATAAAACAATAAATTGATCTTCTATTTTCATAAGTTTTCATTGATTTCATGATTTTCCAGATTTCTAGTATAGGGACTAGGCAACTGANTCAAACTTGCCCATTTCTTTACCATTTAATGAAATTTTTATTTCTTAAAAATTCTGGCTCAACGAATCGAGCATGAAAATATATAAAATCATAAATTGATCCTCTATTTTCATCTCTGAAATAGTCTGGTTCATCTAACACCGAGCGAAAAGGCTTGGTGCATGGGTGCTTTACGTAGGTGCAGATACACAGTCCAGAGTATATTTATAAAAGGTTAATCAAATTATTTCCATTGGGCGGTCTCCCATAATGTTTTATTCATCGGCGATAAACCGGGCCGCATAGGTCGGAGTCCGGTTTAATTCCATTGCAAGGTAGTATTGTAAATTCTGACGGGTGTCTACGTCGACTTCTATCTCTGCGTCACATTGTCGCCCACTTTGAAACGGTGATTCAGTCCCCTGGCATTCTCTTCGTTCATGTTCACGTTCATGTTCATTCCGTGACATAACGTCGATTAAAATATCCGTGCTAGTTCCTATGAATTACGGTATTACTGTCGACCAGCGTCACAGTCATGAAAATATTCTTATATGCAAATTCCCATTCATTCTGAAAACCAAGTTCACTTTGATTCAATCGTTTCATAGTATGTAACACGAATTCAGAGAAACCTAGCTTATGCAAAGATATTTTGTCTGTACGATGTTTAATTAATTATTCTAGTAGTAGCGGTAGTTGTAATCGTTTTTTTTTCATGCCTTTTAGTCTTGAAAGTTGTTACATTTGATGATGAAATATAATATTTGATACTACTGATGTTTCACGTATACACTTTCCTCCTTCCTCTTCTTTCAAAATTTCTCATAATTATTAGTAGATTGTAGAGACGTCTAAATTCGTTCGTTACGTATGAACTTCTTTTTAGAAACCATTTGCATAAATCTACCAAGGGGGGTCAAAATGACTTGTTTGGCATTTCTTCTAATCA